AATTTGCTAAGAGAGTAGATCTTTTTTCCCCCTTAATGCCACTAATAAGCCAAGAGAGTAGATTTTTTTTCTTTTTGAGAGGGAGTCTTGCTCTGTCACCCAGGCTGGAGTGCAGTGGCACAATCTCAGTTCACGGCAGCCTCTGTCTCCTGCGTTCAAATGATTCTCCTGTCTCCTGAGTAGCTGGGATTACAGGCACGTGCCACCACGCCTGGCTAATTTTTGTATTTTTTAGTCGAGACTGGGTTTCACCATGTTGGCCAGGCTGGTCTCGAACTGCTGACCTCAGATGATCTGCCTGCCTTGGCCTCCCGAAGGGCTGGGATTATAGGTGTGAACCACCGTGTCCGGCCGAGCACAGCCCTTTGATGCCAGCAGAGAGCGCTGGCGTCTGTGGTTAGACTCCGGCTGGCGTTCCCCTGACTCTGTTGAGGGACCTCTTCTGGTTGCACCAGGCCCATCATGGCCATGAGGACCACTGAGGCACTTGGACCTCTGCAGTAGGCGTCCAGGCAGCTGAGCCTGGGTTAGAAGGACAGATGGTTACAGAAGGGGCAGCCAGGCAGCCCCACTAAAGGACCCTAAAGTGGAGGTTGTGTCTCTAGTCTACTGACACTGGCCCACACCCACGAGACAATTCTCACCGTTCTTTCCCGCTGTCATCATGGACGCCGTGGTGATATCACCAGGGAATTAATTCTACAGTGAAAGAAGACGGTGGTGAGAAACAGGGAGCAGCTCATGTGCTCCGTCTGAGTCCTGCCTGTTGCTTACTTTCTTCTTTTTTCGAGACAGAGTCTCCCTGTGTTGCCCAGGCTGGAGTGCAGTGGCTCCATCTCGGCTCACTGCAACCTCTACCTCCCAGGTTCAAGCCATTCTCCTGCCTGAGCCTCCCAAGTAGCTGGGATTACAAGTGCACACCACCATGCCTGGCTGAATTTTTTTTTTGGAGGCCGAGCCTTGCTCTGTCACCCAGGCTGGAGTGCAGTGGGGCAGTCTCAGCTCACTGCAGCTTCCGCCTTCTGGGTTCAAGCGATTCTTGATTACAGGTGCACACCACCATGCCTGGCTGAATTTTTTTTTTGGAGGCCGAGCCTTGCTCTGTCACCCAGGCTGGAGTGCAGTGGGGCAGTCTCAGCTCACTGCAGCTTCCTCCCTCTGGGTTCCAGCGATTCTTCTGCCTCAGCCTCCGGATTAGCTAGGACTACAGCCACGCTCAGCTAATTTTTGTATTTTTAGCAGAGACAGGGTTTCATCGTGTTGGCCAGGATGGTCTCGATCTACTGACCTTGTGATCCAGCCGCCTCGGCCTCCCAAAGTGCTGGGATTACAGGCGTGAGGCACTGAGCCAGGTCAAAGATTTTTTTTTTTTTAAGATTCAAATGCGGCCGGGCGCGGCTCACGCCTGTAATGCCAGCACTTTGGGAGGCCGAGGCGGGTGCATCATGAGGTCAAGAGATCGAGACCATCCTGGTCAACATGGTGAAACCCCTTCTTTACTAAAAATACAAAAATTAGCTGGGCATGGTGGCGGGTGCCTGTAATCCCAGCTACTCGGGAGGCAGAGGTTGCGGTGAGCCGAGATCGCGCCATTGCACTCCAGCCTGGGTAACAAGAGCGAAACTCCGTCTCAAAAAAAAAAAAAAAAAAAAAAAGATTCCAATGCGGTTCCGGCAGCGCAGCGCGGCTGCCCGGCCCACCCGGCCTCCCGGACCATCGCCAACCTCGAGCGCACCTCCTTCGCCATGAAGCCGGACGGCGTGCAGCGCCGCCTGGTGGACGAGCTCATCCAGCGCTTCGAGCAGAAGGGGTCCCGCCTCTCGCCATCCAGTGCTTCCGGCGTGTGAGCAACCCCTGAAGCAGCGCTACATTGACCGGAAAGGCGGCCCTTTCTTCCCTGGACTGATGACGTGCGTGAACTCGGTGGTGGCCATAGTCTGGGCTGAATGTGGTGCAGACAGCCCGAGCGATGCTTGGGGAGACCAATCCAGCCGATTCTAAGCCAGACGCCATTTTTGGGGACCTCTGCATTCGCGTGGGCAGGAACGTCATTCACGGCAGTGACTTAGTACAAAGTGCTACAAAAGACATCGGCCTGTGGTTCAGCCTGAAGAGCTGCTTGACTACAAGTCTTGTGCGCATGGCTGGGTCTGTGAACAGGAGGGGGACCCAGCAGCATCTCCTTCAGCAGGGCTTGGGGTGTCCCTGGACACAGCTCTTCATGCCACCGACTTAGAAGCAACAGGATTGACTGGGCGCGGTGGCTCAGGCCTGTAATCCCAGCGCTTTGGGAGGCTGAGGCGGGTCTGTGAATAGGAGGGGGACCCAGCAGCATCTCCTTCAGCAGGGCTTGGGGTGTCCCTGGACACAGTTCTTCATGCCACCGACTTAGAAGCAACAGGATTGACTGGGCGCGGTGGCTCAGGCCTGTAATCCCAGCGCTTTGGGAGGCCAAAGCGGGTGAATCACAAGGTCAGGAGTTCAAGACCAGCCTGGCTAACATGGTGAAACCCCATCTCTGCTAAAAATACAAAAATTAGCCAGGCACGGTGGCGAGCACCTGTAATTCCAGCTACGTGGGAGGCTGAGGCAGGAGAATCACTTGAACCCAGAAAGTGGAGGTTGCAGTGAGCCGGGATGGTACCACTGTACTCCAGCCTGGGTGACAGAGCAAGTGAGACTCCGTCTCAAAAAAAAAAAAAAATCAAAAAAACAAAAAGGGGGCCGGGCGCGGTGGCTCATGCCTGTAATCCCAGCACTTTGGGAGGCCGAGGCGGGTGGATCGCGAGGTCAAGAGATCGAGACCATCCTGGTCAACATGGTGAAACCCCGTCTCTACTAAAAATACAAAAAATTAGCTGGGCATGGTGGCGCGTGCCTGTAGTCCCAGCTACTCGGGAGGCTGAGGCAGGAGAATTGCCTGAACCCAGGAGGCGGAGGTTGCGGTGAGCCGAGATCGTGCCATTGCACTCCAGCCTGGGAAATAAGAGCGAAACTCTGTCTCACAAAAAGAATAAAAAAGAAAACTGCTTGGCACAGAGTAAGTGCTCAATATATTTCAGAATGGGGGGTAAATTATTGAAAAAACAGCTCCACATTTCTCTTTTTAAAATAGAAGGAGGGGCTGGGCATGGAGGCTCATGGCTGTAATCCCAGCTACTTAGGAGACTGAGGCGGAGGTTGCGGTGAGCCGAGATCACACCATTGCACTCCAGCCTGGGCAACAAAAGCAAAACTCTCTCAAAACAAACAAACAAACAAACAAACAAACAGAAAACCAGTGAGGACAACCAGTGGTCCCTCTCATCGCCATCTTGGTTTTGGTGGGATTTCGCGGGCTTCTTTACTGCAAACTGTCTTATCAGCAAGGTCTTTATGACGTGTGTTTTGTGCTGACCCTTCCATCTCATCCTGTGACTTCAAATGCCCTTTTAAATTTTGTTTTGTTTCTACTGCAACCTCTGCCTCCCGAGCTCCAGCAATTCTCCTGTCTCAGCCTCCAGAGTAGCTGGGATCACAGGCATGTGCAGCCACGCCTGGCTAGTTTTTGTATTTTTAGTAGAGATGGGGTTTCACCATGTTGGCCAGACTGGTCTTGAACTCCTGACCTCGTGCTCCACCCACCTCCACCTCCCAAAGTGCTGGGATTACAGGTGTGAGCCTGGCTTCTTTTTTTTTTTATATGGAGTCTCCTTCATCACCCAGGCTGGAGTGCAGTGGTGTGAGCTCTGCTCACTGCAACGTCTGCCTCCTGGGTTCAAGCCATTCTTCTGCCTCAGCCTCCCGAGTAACTGGAATTATAGTCATGTTTGATCACGCCAGGCTTTTTTTTTTTGAGATGGAGTATCACTCTGTTGCCCAGGCTAGAGTGCTGGGGCAAAGTCTTGGCTCACTGCAACCTCCGCTTCCTGGGTTCAAGTGATTCTCCTGCTGCAGCTTCCATGTAGCTGGGATCACAGGCGTGAGCCACTATTCCCAGATAATTTTTGAATTTTAGTAGACACGGGGTTTCAACATATTGGCCAGGCTGGTCTCAGACTCCTGACCTCATGATCTGACCTCCTCACCCTCCCAAAGTGCTGGGATTACAGGGGTGAGCCACCATGCCCAGCCTCATTTTAATTTTTGTACGAAGAGCGGGTTTTCATTTGTTTTGAGATAGAGTCTCGCTCTGTTGCGCCCACGCTGGAGTGCAGAGGCATGATCTTGGCTCATTGCAACCTCACCCTTCCGGGTTCAAATAATTCTGTTTCTGCCTCCCAGGCTGGAGTGCAGTGGCATGACCTCAGCTCACTGCAACCTCTGCCTCCTGGGTTCAAGCGATTCTTCTGCCTCAGCCTCCTGACTACAGGCACGTGCCACCACGCCTGGCTATTTTTTTGCATTGTTAGTAGAGACGGGGGTTTTCAACATATTGGTCAGGCTGGTCTTGAACTCCTGACCTCGTAATCTGCCCACCTCAGCCTCCCAAAGTGCTGGGATTACAGGTGTGAGCCACCGAACCCGGCTGGTGCTAGGGTTTTCAGGTGCTTTGGTGTGGGCCAAAGTGTGGGCATGCTGACTGCTTGCAGAGAGCAAGGTGAAGTCAGGGACGGGGAGATGAGGACGCAGTGTTCTCATGCTGACCCCATTCCTTGGTGGGGTCTTCAAACTGGTTGGTGTCACCTCTTTTGCTGGAATTCAGGGACTGAAAAACATCTGAAACCATTCTTAAACAAAAGCCTTATAATTCTTTCTTTCTTTCTTTTTTAAAGAAGGAAGGGAAGGGCAGCGGGGGGAGGGCAAAAGCCTTATAATTCTAATGTCCCAGAGTTTATCTATAGGAGCCATGCAGATGTAAATAGGTCTGAGGACCCTCCTGTCAGAAATCTTATCTCCAGGAACAAAGAGCATGCAAATGTGCAGAGTCTAGTGCAGGACAGGGGCCAGCGTGCAGCCCGACCCAACCCACACTTTATCTTTTCTTTGATTCTTTTTTTATCTTTTTGAGACGGAGTCTTTCTCTGTAGCCCAGGCTGGAGTGAGGTGGCTCAATCTTGGCTCACTGTAACCTCCGCCTCCCAGGTCCCGGTTCAAGCGATTCTCCTGCCTCAGCTTCCCGAGTAGCTGGGATTACGGGCACATGCCACTATGCCCAGATAATTTTTGTATTTTTAGTAGAGATGAGGTTTCATCATATTGGCCAGACTGGTCTTGAACTCCTGACCTCGTGATCCACCCACTTCCGCCTCCCAAAGTGCTGGGATTACAGGCCGTCACAAGACTTTTTATCTTTTTTTGGTTTGGTTTTGTTTTTGAGACGGAGTTTCGCTCTTGTTACCCAGGCTGGAGTGCAATGGCACGATCTCTGCTCACCGCAATCTCCGCCTCCTGGGTTCAGGCAATTCTCCTGCCTCAGCCTCCCGAGTAGCTGGGATTACAGGCACGCACCACCATGCCCAGCTAATTTTTTGTATTTTTAGTAGAGACGGGGTTTCACCATGTTGACCAGGATGGTCTCGAACTCTTGACCTCGTGATCCACCCGCCTCGGCCTCCCAAAGTGCTGGGATTACAGGCGTGAGCCACGACGCCCGGCCTTTATCTTTTTTTAAAAAACATTTATTTACGTTTAATTTTTTTCTCTTTACATGAGTTTTTGGAGCTGGGAGCCAGCGACCCCATAACACTGAAAATGTATAATTTCCTGTTCTGTCGCCGATCACACCTGACCTCGGTGGTCTAGGAACTGCACATTAACCTCACCTGGGGACTTTCAGCAAGCCCTGCTCCCCAAAGCCCACTGCAGCCCAATGACAGCTGAATCCCGGAGGATGGGGCCCAGGTGATGTCAAGGTTAGTCTGAGGTCAGTGGTTGGGAGCCAAGCAGTGTTAATCTCGGTGGGCAGCTCCACCCTGGGCGGGAAACACCTGCCTCCACCCCGGGTCCCCAGGCCAATCCCAGAGCTCCCTGACCCCCTTATTACCCAATTCCTTCGCAGAAAACACCGGCCGGAAGCAAGTCCTGCTCTACGGAGGTGAGTGCTGATGCTTGCATCAGTTTCTTCGTCTCTTCTTTATGTTTTGTTATTTATTTATTTATCTTATCCGGTCTCCGTGGAGACTGTCAAAAATTGCCAAGGCCGACTATATTTCAAGCCGTCGTGGCGGGGTACTGGGAAAAGTTTTCCATGAGCAGTAATGGCGCCTCGGCTAAACCTCCCTGGCTACGCTACTGCCACTGCGCAAAGCTCTTCGTCTCTTTTAAGGGAGAAGTAATTTTTTTTTTTTTTTTCTCTTACTCCTTGTTTCGTTTTCGTTTTTCTCCCCGCTCCGTTCCGGGGAGGAGTAATTATTGGTTGAGTTTCCCCCATGGCCCTTCCCAACCCCTGACGGTTGGTGTGACTTTTGATTTTTTTTTTTTTTTTTTTTTTTTTTGGAGATAGAGTCTCACTCCGTCACCCAGGCTGGAGTGCAGTGGTGGGATCTCCGCCCACTGTAAACTCCACCTCTCGGGTTCCAGTGATTCTTCTGTCTTAGCCTCCCGAGTAGCTGTGATAACAGGCACGCATCACCACACCTGGCTAGTTTTTGTATTTTTAGTAGAGATGGGGTTTCACCATGTTGGTCAGGCTGGTCTCGAATTCCTGACCTCAGGTCATCTGTCTGCCTCGTCTCCCGGAGTGCTGGGATTACAGGTGTGAGCCCGCGTGCCCGGCCTAATGTTGTCTTAAAGACTTCTATTCAAATATAGTTTAGAGGAGCTCAGGAGTTTGAGACCAGCCTGCACAACATGGTAAAATCTGTCTCTACAAAAAATACAAGGCTGGGCGCGGTGGCTCATAACTTTGGGAGGCTGAGGTGGGTGGATTATTTGAGGTCGGGAGTTCGAGACCAGCCCGGCCAACATGGTGAAACCCCGTGTCTACTGAAAACACAAAAATTAGCCAGGCGTGGTGGTGCATGCCTGTAATCCCAGCTGCTTGGAAGGTTGAGGCAGGAGAATGGCATAAACCTGGGAGGCAGAGGTTGCTTTAAGCTGAGATAGGGGCACTGCACTCTGGCCTGGGAGACAGAGTGAGACTCCATCTCAAAAAAAACAAACAAAAAAGGCCAGATTTGGTGGTGGGTCCAAGATACTGATGGGGTGAGGTAGGAGGATCACCTGAGCCTGGGAGCTGGAGGCTACAATGAGCTGTGATTCTGCCACTGCGCTCCAGCCTGGATGAGAGGGAGACCCTGTTTTCTTCTTTTTTTTTTTTTTAAATGCAGATGGCTGGGCATGGTGGCTCACACCTGTAATCCCAGCACTTTGGGATGCTGAGGTGGGTGGATCATCTGAGGTCAGGAGTTCAAGACCAGCCAACATGGTGAAACCCCGTCTCTACTAAAAATACAATAAATTAACTGGGCATGGTGGCGCGTGCCTGTAATCCTAGTTTCTCGGGAGGCTGAGGCAGGGGAATCACTTGAACCTGGGAGGCGGAGGTTGCAGTGAGCTGAGATCGTTCCACTGTGCTCCAGCCTGGGCCATAGAGTGAGACTCCATGTCAGGAAAAAAAAAATATAGAGTATACTTGAATCACATGTTCTCACTGCAAAAAGGAAAGGCAGCCGTACGAGGCAGTGGGTGCTGATTAGCTTGACTGTAACCATCTCACTGTATATACAACAACTTCATGTTCTACACTTTGACAAAAATTGCATCTATTACTTTAAAAATACTTAAAAAAAAAAAAAAATGGAGACAAGGTCTCCTTGAGTTGCCCAGGCTGGTCTGGAACTCCTGGGCTCACACACCCTTCCTGCTCCACCCTAGCATTGTGCATACGTAATTATACCTCAAAGCTGAGGAGAAAGAGCTGCCCTTCCTCAGGGTAAAGCTGTCCACTTCTGCCATCACCTGGGCTTGGCCAGTCACTTTCCGTTTGTCGTTTCCCAGCCTGCCTCCCTCTTGTATTTATATATATATACATACATGTATATGTATGTATATGTGTGTGTATATATATATATGTATGTATGCATGTATTTATTTATTTTTGAGACGGAGTTTTGCTCTTGTTACCAGGCTGGAGTGGAATGGCGTGGTCTCAGCTCACCGCAACCTCCGCCTCCTGGGTTCAGGCAATTCTCCTGCCTCAGCCTCCTGAGTAGCTGGGATTACAGGCACGCGCCACCATGCCCAGCTGATTTTTTGTATTTTTAGTAGAGACGGGGTTTCACCACGTTGACCAGGATGGTCTCGATCTCTTGACCTCGTGATCCACCCGCCTTGGCCTCCCAAAGTGCTGGGATTACAGGCTTGAGCCACCACGCCTGGCATTTTTTTTTTTTTTTTTGAGGCAGAGTCTCACCTTGTCACTCAGGCTGGAATGCAGTGCTGTGATCTTGCCTCACTGCAGCCTCAACTTTCTGGGCACAAGAAATCCTCCTGCCTCAGCCCCCCAAGTAGCTAGAGTAGAGACAGGGTTTTGCCTTGTTGCTCAGGCTGGTCTCTAACTCCCCAGACTCCAGTGATCCACCCACCTCAGTCTACTAAAGTGATGGGATTACAGGTGTGGGCCACCGTGCCCTGACATTTTTTTTTTTTGAGATGGAGTTACGCTCTTGTTGCCCAGGCTGGAGTATAGTGGCTCACTGCAACCTCCACCTCCTGGGTTGGAGCGATTCTCCTGTCTCAGCCTCCCAAGTAGCTGGGATTACAGGCATGGGCCACCATGTCCGGCTAATTTTGTAGTTTTAGTAGGGACGGTTTTGCCATGTTGGCCAGGCTGGTCTCAAACTCCCGACCTCAGGTGATCCGCTCACCTCGGCCTCCCAAAGTGCTGGGATTACAGGCGTGAGCCACCGCGCCCAGCCAGATTTCCATCTCTTAATTCGGGCTACCTCACGTTTCACCACTCAGGGTACAGCACGGACAGTTGTTCTCGGCACACGGGCCACTGTTTTCATTGAATGATGGTAACTTGTGAACTGTTCCTTTTTTCCCCTAGTTCTTTGGCCTTGACCTAAGCTGTCACACGTGGAGCACCATGACATCACCACAGCTGCAGTACACTCTGCAGACCCTTCTGGAGCAGCTGAGCGAGGGTGAATTGGGGACTTTCAAGTCCATCTTGAGGGCTTTTCCCCTAGAAGATGTGCTACAGAAGACCCCGTGGTCGGAGGTGGAAGAAGCCAACGGCAGGAAACTGGCAGAAATTCTGGTCAACACATCCTCAGAATGCTGGATAAGGAATGCGACTGTGAAGGTCTTCGAAGAGCTGAATCTCCCCGAATTGTCTGAGATGGCAAAGGTGGAGTTGCTGGGTGAGCAGAACACGGAATGAGCTCTGGCCGGGTGCGGTGGCTCATGCCTGTAATCCTAGCAATTTGGGAGGTTGAGGTGGCTGGATCACATGAGATCAGGAGTTTGAGATCAGCCTGACATGGTAAAACCTCATCTCTACTAAAAAGACAAAAATTACCTGGACCTGGTGGGGTGGTGGGCATCTGCGATCCCAGCTATTTGGGAGGCTGTGGCAGAATTTCCTGAACCTGGCAGGTGGAGGTTGCAGTGAGCCGGGATTGCACCATTGCATTGCAGCGTGGGTAACATAGCAAGACTCCATCTTTAAAAAATAAAAAAATGGGGGGGCCAGGCATGGTGGCTCACACCTGTAATCCCAGCACTTAGGGAGGCTGAGGCGGGTGGATCACGAGGTCAAGAGATCGAGACCATCCTGGTGGACATGGTGAAACCCCGTCTCTACTAAAAATATAAAAAATTAGCTGGGCATGGTGGCGCGTGCCTGTAATCCCAGCTACTCAGGAGGCTGAGGCAGGAGAATTGCCTGAACCCAGGAGGCGGAGGTTGCGGTGAGCCGAGATCGCACCATTGCACTCCAGCCTGGGTAACAAGAGCGAAACTCCACCTCAAAAAAAAAAAAAAAACAAATTAAAAAAGAAAACAAATAAAAATAAATAAAAAATAAGAAAGAATAAAAAAAATAAGATGATAGCCTCATGCATATATACACTCATGATTTGCATTTTCAGCATCTCCTAGGACATGTGGTCTTGGTATATTGCCCAGGCTCTCCACAGGCACAATCACGGTACACTGCAGCCTCAAACTCCTCGCCTTAAACAATCTTCCTGGCCACGTGCAGGGGTTCACGCCTGTAATCCCAGCACTTTGGGAGGCTGAGACAGGTGGATCATGAGGTCAGGAGATCGAGACCATCCTGGCCAACATGGTGAAACCTCGTCTCTACTAAAGTTTTTTTTTTTTTTTTTTTTTTTTTTAAAAGAAGCTAGCCAGGTGTGATGGTGGGCACCTGTAATCCCAGCTACTTGGGAGGCTGAGTCAGGAAGATCGCTTGAACCCGGGAGGTGGAGCTTGCAGTGAGCTGAGATTGTGCCCCTGCACTCCAGCCTGGTGACAGAGCAAGACTCCATCTCAAAAAAAAAAAAGTGGCGGGGGCGGGGGGAAGAAAGGAAATGTACTTTTTAGGTATGCAGTATAAGAAAAAAAAACACAAAACAACAACAAAAACCAATCTTCCTGCCTCAGCCTGTTGAGGAGCTGGAGATGTAGGTGCGTGTCCTGTGCTTGGCTCATTTCTTTCTGAGGCAGGATTTCAGTCTGTCACCCAGCTTGGAGTGCAGTGTGCGATCGTGGTTCACTGTAGCCTCCAATCCTGGGCTCCTGTTAACCTCCCACCTCAGCCTTCCAAACTTAGTTTTTCTTCTCTTTTGTACAGATAATACCCTTGCCTCAGTCTCCCAGAGTGCTGAGATGACAGGTGTGAGCCACCATGTCTGGCAGCATTCTTTCTAACAATTTTGTTTGAGAATAATTTTGTTTCATTTATTTATTTGATTTTTATTTTTGGGATGGGGTCTCACTCTGTGGCCCAGGTTGGAATGCAGTGGTGTGATCTCGGCTCACTGCAACCTCGTTCTCCCGGGTTCAAGCAGTTGTCCTGCCTCAGCCTCCTGAGCAGCTGGGATTACAGGCATGTGCCACCACACCTGGCTAATTTTTTTCTATTTTTAGTAGAGACAGGGTTTCACTGTATTAGCCAGGATGGTCTTGGTCTCCTGACTTTGTGATCTGTCCACCTTGGCCTCCCAAAGTGCTGGGATTACAGGCGTAAGCAACCACACCCGGTCTAATTTTTGTAGTTTTAGTAGAGACGGGGTTTCACCATGTCGACCAGGATGGTCTCGATCTCTTGACCTCGTGATCCACCCGCCTCAGCCTCCCAAAGTGCTGGGATTACAGGTGTGAGCCACTGCGCCGGCATCTCCATGTCTATGACCCTCCTTTTCACCTGCAGTGACATGCGGTAGAACAGTTGAGGTTGTTGATGATACTCATCTGAAAATTACTTTGGTGGCTCACGCCGATAATCCCAGCACTTTGGGAGGCTGAGGCGGGTGGATCACGAGGTCAAGAGATTGAGACCATCCTGGTTGACATGGTGAAACCCCGTCTCTACTAAACATACAAAAAATTAGCTGGGCACGGTGGCGCATGCCTGTAATCCCAGCTACTCAGGAGGCTGAGGCGGGAGAATCGCCTGAACCCAGGAGGCGGAGGTTGCGGTGAGCCGAGATCGCGCCATTGCACTCCAGCCTGGGTGACAAGAGCGAAACTCCGTCTCAAAAATAAAAGAGAAAGAAAAAGAAAATTACTTTGGTACAGTACTGGAAATGAAGAAAACCAGGAAAATGAGCAACTTGACTCATACTCCTCGGAATATAGGAACCACAACTCACAGGCACATCAACAGGTAGACGCATCAGCAGGGTCTGTTCATACATACGGTGGATTAATATCCAGCCATCTAAAGGAACGGAGCGCTGGTACGCAACACGGATGAGATCACATTCAGGTACCTGAAGGAAATGAGTCACCAGAGAGGACACGTTTTGGGATTCCATTGACGTGAAAGATCTCAAATTCCATAGAGACAAAATAGAGATGAGTGGGCTCCAGAGGCTGGGGGAAGGGAAGAAACGGGGGGTGTCTGCTTAAATGGGTATGGGGGACCCCTTTGGGATGATGTTTTGGGGCTTTTTCCAAGTTTGGGTGCTTACTGCGGAGGGACAGGCTCCGTCTGTGTATTTTACAGAGGACAGACAGATGGAAGAAGTAGATAACCCTGAGCTGGGAGACTTAGAAGAAGACTTGGAGTCAGCAAAGCCAGGTGGGTGAACAGTCTCGTCGCGACTTCGGCGTTTGGGAAGGTGCAAGGCGCATCACTTCTTCCTGGTTTTCTTCATTTAGTGATTCGTGTTTTCTTATAACACGTGAATTACGTGTTCAAATGGTAAATCTCATTTTTTACCACAATAGAAGTAGGCTCAGGATGGGCACAGTGGCTCACCTGTAATCCCAGCACATTGAGAGGCCAAAGTGGGCTGCTGACTTGAGATCAAGAGTTCGAGACCAGGCTGACCCATATGACAAAAGCCCTTTTCACTCATAGGCGGGTGGTGAACAATGAGAACACATGGACACAGGAAGGGGAGCATCATCCACTGGGGTCTGTGGGGGTGGAACTAGGGGAGGGACAGTGGGGGCTGGGGAGTTGGGGAGGGATAACATGGGGGGAAATGCCAGATATAGGTGATGGGGAGGAAGGCAGCAAACCACACTGCCATGTGTGTACCTGTGCAACAATCCTGCATGTTCTTCACATGTACCCCAAAACCTAACATGCAATAAAATAGATATTAAAAAAAGAAGTACAGGCCGGGTGCCGTGGCTCAAGTCTGTAATCCCAGCACTTTGGGATGCCGAGGCGGGTGGATCACAAGGTCAAGAGATTGAGACCATCCTGGTCAACAAGGTGAAACCCCATCTCTACTAAAAATACAAAAAATTAGCTGGGCATGGTGGTGCGTGCCTAAAATCCCAGCTACTCAGGAGGCTGAGGCAGGAGAATTGCTTGAACCCAGGAGGCAGAGGTTGCGGTGAGATGAGATCGCGCCATTGCACTCTAGCCTGGGTGACGGGAGTGAAACTCCGTCTCCAAAAAAGAAAAGTAGTACAAAAATTAGTCAAGTGTGGTAGCGGGCACAAGAATTCTTTGAACCCAGGAGGCAGAGGTTACAGTGAGCTAAGATGGCGCCACTGCACTCCAGCCTGGGTGACAGAGCAAGACTCTGCCTCAAAAAAAGGAAATAAGATAGACAAATGATCTTTGGCCTGGAAGAACTCCTATTGACTCCATTTTGTGGGAGCAAAATTGCTAGGTCATATCATAATTCTGTGTTTTTGAAGAACCGAGCTGTTCTATTTTTAAGTGTGGGAAAGATTAGAGTTTCTATTTGTCAGGAAATAACATGTCATCTACGGAGAAAAAAATCAGTCTCCAAACTGGGTACTGAATTGTGTCCAGAGAATATACTGAAGCTCTAACCCCCTCAATGTGACTGTGTATTTGGAGATAGGGCTTCAGAAGTAAAGCTGAGGCTGGGCGCGGTGGCTCACGCTTCTAATCCCAGCACTTTGGGAGGCCGAGGCAGGTGGATCACGAGGTCGAGATCGAGACCATCCTGGTCAACAAGGTGAAACCCCATCTCTACCAAAAAATTAGCTGGGCATGGTGGTGTGCGCCTGTAATCCCAGCTACTCAGGAGGCTGAGGCAGGAGAATTGCCTGAACCCAGGAGGCGGAGGTTGCAGTGAGCCGAGATCACGCCATTGCACTCCAGCCTGGGTAACAAGAGCAAAACTCAATCTTAAAAAAAAAAAAAAAAAGATTAAATGAGGTTGAAGGGTAGGGCCAACAGGACTCCCCCCACCAAAAAAACGACGCAAGAATATTTGAGCCAAAGGCAGTGATATGCTCCTGCAGTCCCAGCTCCTCAGGAGGTTGAGGTGGGAGGATTGCTTCAATCTGGAGGTTCAAATCCAGTCTGGGGAACTATCAAGACCCTGTCTCTAAATATATGTGTATATATTTGATGCTTTCTTTTCTACAATGCCTGATTCAGGAAGTACAAATGACCATGACAGGCTTACATCTATGTATTTTTACAGAGGACGGACAGGTGGAAGACGCAGAAAACCTTGAGCAGGGAGAGTTAGAAGAGGACTCGGAGTTAGCAAAGCCAGGTGGGTGAATTCAGTCTCGTGGTCGTGAGTTCGGTGTTAGCGTGCGAGGCGCGTTACTTCCTGGTTTTTTCACTCTGGTACTTTACACAGTCATTTTCAGATGAATATCTCCCCAACCTCACCTGTCCTGTGGTCTGTCACTGCAGGTGAGAAGGAAGGATGGAGAAACGTGACTGACGAACAGTCTTTGGTCTCGCGGAACACTTTTTGGCGAGGAGACAGTGACAATTTCCACGACCATGTCACTCAGAGAAACCAAAGGTTCATTCCATTCTTGAATCCCAGAAGACCCACGCAGCCAGCCCCTTACACGGTGGTTCTGCACGGTCCTGCGGGTGTGGGGAAAACCACGCTGGCCAAGAAGTGTATGCTGGACTGGAAAGACTACAACCTCGGCCCAAAGGCCAGGTACGCTTTCTACCTCAGCTGCAAGGGGCTCAGCCGGCTGGGCCCGTGCAGTTTTGCAGAGCTGATCGCCAGAGACCAGCCGGAATTGCAGGATGACATTCCAGACATCCTCGCCCAAGCACAGAGAATCCTGATTGTGGTCGACGGCCTCGATGAGCTGAGAGTGCCCCCCGGGGCGCTGATCTACGACATCTGCGGGGACTGGCTGAAGCCGAAGCCGGTGCCGGTCCTCCTGGGGAGTTTGCTGAAGAGGAAGATGTTACCCAAGGCCGCCCTGCTGGTCACCACACGGCCCAGGTCCCTGAGGGACCTGCAGCTCCTGGCCGAGAAGCCCATCTACATAAGGGTGGAGGGGTTCCTGGAGGAGGACAGGAGGGCCTATTTCCTGAGACACTTTGGAGAGGAGGACCAAGCCACGCGTGCCTTTGAGCTGATGAGAAGCAACGCGGCCCTGTTCCAGCTGGGCTCGGCGCCCGCGGTGTGCTGGATGGTGTGCACGAGTCTGAAGCTGCAGATGGAGAATGGGGAGGACCCGGCCACCACCTGCCACACCTGCACGGGGCTGTTCCTGCACTTTCTCTGCAGCCGCTTCCCGAAGGGTGCACAGCTCGGGGGCACGCTGCGGGCGCTGAGCATCCTGGCTGCGCAGGGCCTGTGGGCGCAGATGTCCGTGTTCCACAGAGAGGACCTGGAGAGCTTCGGGGTGCAGGAGTCCGACCTCCGCCCGTTCCTGGACAGAGGCATCCTCCGCCAGGATAGAGACTCTAAAGACTGCTACTCCTTCCTCCACCTCAGCTTCCAGCAGTTTTTCACTGCGCTGTTCTACGCCCTGGAGAAGGAGGAGGAGGACAGGGACGGCCACGCCTGGGACATTGGGGATGTGCAGAGGCTGCTTTCTGGAGAAGAAAGAGTCCAGAACCCCGACCTGATCCAAGCGGGACACTTCTTATTCGGCCTTGCCAACGAGAAGAGAGCCGCGGAGTTGGAGACCACTTTCGGCTGCGTGATGTCACGGGAGATCAAACAGGAACTGCTGCGGTGCAGAGCGAATCTTCACGTAAAGAAGCCGTCGTCGATGGCAGGCCTGAGGGAGCTCTTGTGCTGCCTGTATGAGTCTCAGGAGGGGGAGCTGACGAAGGCGGTGATGGCCCCGTTCAGGGAAATTTCTGTTCACTTGACAAGTAAGTCTGAGATGGTGCAGTGTTATTTCAGCCTGAAGCACTGTCCAGACTTGGAGAAACTCTCGCTGCAGGTAGCAAAGGGGGTGTTCCTGGAGAATTACGTGGACCTTGAACCGGACTTGGAGTTAGAGAGGTAAGAACGACTTTCCCATCCCACGTTCCACCAGGAGGAGGCCAGTGTCTCCTGTGCCTTGTAGCTTAAGGTCAGAATTTCCCTCTGGCTGGTCTTCCTGCTTCATGTTCAACACACAGATACGATTTGTCAATTAGGAATTGGGTTTGTTTGTTTTTTTTTTAAATTGAGACAGTTTTGCTCTAGTCACCCAGGCTGAAGTGCAATGGCATGATCTCGGCTCACTGCAACCTCTGCCTCCCGGGTTCAAGCGATTCTCCTGCCCCGGCCTCATTAGTAGCTGGGATTACAGGCATGAGCCACCGCGCCCAGCTAATTTTTGTATTATTAATAGAGAGGGGGTTTCATCACGTTGGCCAGGCTGGTCTCTCCTGACCTCAGGTCCCTGCTTCTGAAAGTGCTGGGATTACAGGCCATTTGTTGTCTCCTTTTTTGAGATGGAGTCTTGTTCTGTCACCCAGACTAGAGTTGAGTGCAGTGATCTTGGCTCACTGCAGCCTCTGTGTCACCACACCTGGCTAATTTTTGTATTTTTTAGTAGAGACAGGGGTGTTACCATATTGGCCAGGCTGGTCTCAAACTCGCAACCTCATCCACCCGCCTCCTGAAGTGCTGGGATTACAGGCCTGAGCCACTGTGCCCGGCCTATCTTTTTCTTTTTTTTCTTTTGGAGATAGTGTCTTGCTCTGTTTTCTGGGCTGGAGTAAGCATGGCTCACTGCGGCCTCAGTCTCTCAGCTTCTCCTGCCTCAGCCTCCCGAGTAGCTGGGACTACAGGTGTGCACCACATGCCCGGTTATTTTGTTTTTTCGCAGAGATGGGGTCTTGGTTTCTTGCCTAGGCTGGTCTTAAACTCGTGGGCTCAAGCGATCTTCCCACTTTGGCCTACCAAAATGTCGGGATTACAGGCATGAGCCACCACCTCACCCAGCCTTATCCGTTATTTGAGGTTTTTGTAAAACTTAAGATCTCTACAGCTAGCAAAGACGTGACGTGATATTGTTTACTGTGGACACTGTACTTACGTTGTGTTAGGTGGGTGCAAAAGTAATTGTGGTTTTTGCTATTGAAATGCACTGCACCAAGCGCGATGGCTCAGGCCTGTAATCCCAGCACTTTGGGAGGCTGAGGCAGGTGGGTCGCCTGAGGTCAGGAGTTCAAGACCAGCCTGGCCAACATGGTGAAACCCAGTCTCTACTACAAATATAAAAAAGTTAGCTGGGCGTGGTGGTGCGTGCCTGTAGAATCACTTGAACCCAGGAGGGCAGAGGTCGCAATGAGCCAAGATTGTGCCACTGCACTCCAGCCTGGGTGACAGGGCAAGACCCTGTCTCAAAAAAAAAAAGTGGTTTGCAGTCACCCATCCCACATGCGGTGACAACTGTGCGCGCCCGCAGGGACAGTTACTTCACCCTTCCAAACTGGGCGCGGCAGGATCTTCAGTCCCTTCACGTCTGGAAGGATTTCTGCTCTCTCGTCAGCTTGAACAGCAATCTGAAGTTTCTGGAAGTGAGACAAAGCTTCCTGAGCGAGTCGTCCGTGCGGGTTCTTTGTGACCACATAGTCCGTAACACCTGTCACCTGCAGAAAGCAGAGTAAGGAGAAGCTCCTCTTGCAGGGAAGATCCTGAACCATGACTAAGCTCCTTGCACTTTAAAAATAAGTATAGAAATGTGTTGTTTCATCTCCATGTTTTTGGGGGTTTTCTTTTGGGTTCGTTTTATTACTAAAACCTACGAAGTAGGTACTGTGCAGGTTTGTTACACAGGTGAACGTGTGGCATAGGAGTTTGCTGTATGGGTTGTTTCATCCCCCAGGAATTAAGTGTAGTGCCCATTGGTGCTTCTTCCTGACCCTCTGCTTCTTGCATTTTTTATTTTCTTCTGAGACGGAGTCTTGCTCTGTCACCAGGCTGGAGTGCAGTGGTGCAGTCTTGGCTCACTGCAGCCTCTACCTCCCGGGTTTAAGCAATTCTCCTGCCTCAAACTCTCAAGTAGCTGGGATTGCAGGTGCCCACCACCATGCCGAGCTAATTTTTGTATTTTTTTGTAGAGATGGGCTTTCACCATGTTGCCCAGGCTGGTCTTGAACTCCTGAACTCCGGTGATCCGCCCACCTCGGCCCCAGCTAATTTTTGTATTTTTTTGTAGAGATGGGCTTTCACCATGTTGCCCAGGCTGGTCTCGAACTTTTGACCTCGGGTTATCCTCCTGCCTCGGCCTCCCAAAGAGCCAATTACAGACGTGAGCCACCGCGCCTGGCCAGGAACTTCTAATAGTTTCTAAATCTGAAACAGCTTTTTGTTTATACATGCCTCTACACAATGTGAGGATTAAACACTCCAAGTGGAATCTCTCTTGCTTTTTCCTAGGATTAAAAACGTCACCCCTGACAGTGCTTACCGGGACTTCTGTCTTGCTTTCATTGGGAAGCCGACCCTCACTCACCTGACCCTGGAAGGGCATATCGAGTGGGAACGCACGATGCTGCTGCTGATGTGTGACCTGTTCAGGACTCCCAGAGGCAACCTCCAGTACCTGAGGTGCGTCTCACGGTCTTGGCTCTCCCGAGGACCCGGAGTCCTCTACACCGCGTTGCCAGGCAGGAAACATATCCCTCAAACAGGCCTGTGTGGGGTGTCAGCCTCTCTTCCCCCCACCAGCTTGACTTCGGTGTGACATGACCAGCTCTCCATGCAAAGAAACACCCAGAACTCTGTGCTGTGTTCCAGCTTTAGAAACGGGCTACCCCTGACTGCCTCTCGCCTACCTGCTGGGATTGAGAGCAGCGGCCGCCAGCTTTTTCTGCACTGGGGACCGGTTTTGTGCAAGACAGGTTTTCCACAGACAGGGGTTTGGGGGAAGTTTTGGGATGAAACTGTTCAATCTCAGATCATCAGGCTCTGGTGCCTGATCCCCGTGCAGTGAGGTGATCCCAGTACTTTGGGAGCCTGAGGCGGATAGATCATCAGTCCAGATCATTAGGAGTTAGGGACTCACAGGGAGCATGCAACCTTCTCATAGTCCTATGAGATTCCTTTTTTTTTTTTTTTTTTTTTGACAGTTTTATTCTTGTCACCCAGGCTGGAGTGCAATGGCATGATCTCAGCTCACTGCAACCTCTGCCTCCCGGGTTCAAGTGATTCTCCTGTCTCAGCCTCCCAAGTACCTGGGATTACAGGCACACACCACCACACCCAGCTAATTTTTGTATTTTTAGTAGAGATGGGGGTTCACCATGCTGGCCAGGCTTGTCTCGAACTCCTGGCCTCAAGTGATCAACTTGCCTCTGCCTCCCCAAGTGCTGGGATTATAGGCAAAAGCCATCCTGCCTGGCCAGGATAAACTTATTATTTTGAGTATTAAGCATCAATTTCCCCCTTCTAGTCCCAGCTATGCTGGAGTCCCAGGTAGGAGGATTGCTTGAGCCCTGGAGACAGAGGTGGTGCTGAGCCATGATCACGCCACTGCACTCCAGCCTGGGCAACAGAGCGAGTTCCTGTCTCAAAAACAACTTTTCCCCTACAAATCATCCCCACAGGCCCTGTTGGTGAAACGTTACACAGAATTCTATTACAGTCTCTTGGAGACGAGGCTGGACGTAGCTCCAGTGGCCATGAGGAAACTTGAAGAAGCAGAGGAAAGATTAGATTTCTCCAATAATTCAGGCCAGGGTTGGAGAAAGGAGAGTAAAATGAGATAAACCAAAGACACAGTGTTTTGGGAAGTGAAGCATAAGAAGCTGATAAGAGGCCGGGTGTGGTGGCTCACACCTTTAATCCCAGCATTTGGGAGGCCGAGGTGGGCGAATCACCTGACGTCAGGAGTTTGAGACCAGCCTGGCAAACCCCTCTCTAATAAAATACAAAAATTAGCCGGGCATGGTGCCATGTGCCTGTAATCCTAGCTACTTGAGAGGTTGAGGCAGGAGAATTGCTTGAACCTGGGAGGCGGAGGCTGCAGTGAGCCGAGATTGTGCCATTGGGCTCCAGCCCCAGCAACAGGGTGAAACTCTGTCTCCTTAAAAAAAAAAAAAAAAAAAAAAAAAAAGCTGATCTGGTGCTCTCTGTCCTCACAAACGAATGACTGACTCCCACTCTTCCCACAGGTTTGGAGGCCACTCGGCCACCCCAGAGCAGTGGGCGGATTTCTCCTTTCTTCTCAAAGCGAACCAGTCCCTGAGGCACCTACACCTCTCAGCCAATCTGCTCCTGGACGAGGGTGCCAAGTTGCTGTATGAGACCATAGGACACCCAACGAACTTGCTGCAGAAGTTGTCGTGAGTCTCTTCCCATGGGGAGCTCTGGTGTGGGTCAGGTAAAAGAGAAGGGAAACTGTAACACCCGACTTGCTGGGCTGCCCACGTGGTACCTCTCCCTGATAGAAACACCCGCTTCAGGCTGGGCATGGTGACTCATGCCTGTAATCTCAGCACTTTGGGAGGCCGAAGAGGGTAGATCATCTGAGGTCAGGAGTTCGAGACCAACCTGGCCAACATGGCAAAACCCTGTCTCCACTAAGAATACCAAAAACTGACAGCTGTGGCTGTGCATGTCTGGTGCATCCCAGCTACTCAGGAGGCTGAGGCAGGAGAATCGCTTGAGCCCGGGAGGTGGAGGTTGCTGTGAGCCGAGATGGCGCCACTGCACAAACAGCTGCTTCCTGAGATGGTTACAGGTGGCCCGCTGCATCTTGGCCTTCTCGCATTCCCGGTCTTTTGCGGCTGTGACGACCGCTCAGGACAGAGGGCAGGGGATTAACGGGCAGGGCAGATGCTGAGGACCCCGGCACGTGGACATGGCGAGCAGGTTGGAGTTTGGGAAGCGTTCTTATCATGTGACCATGTGTTTCATGTTTTTGCAGGTTGGAAAACTGTCGTCTTACAGAAGCCAGTTGCAAGGAGCTTGCTAATGTCTTGATTGTCAACCAGCATCTGACACACCTGTGCTTGGCCAAGAACCCCATCGGGGATAGAGGGGTGGAGTTGCTGTGTGAGGGCTTGAGTTACCCCGACTGTAAACTGCAGACCCTGGTGTAAGTCCCTGCTGGCTGTGTGCGTGTGTGCGTGCGTGTGCGCGTGTGTATGTGAATTCAAGCAGGAGAGATATGGAAGTCCTTAATTCATTTAAAATGTAACTGGTAAGAACTTGGTAAGAAGGCTGGGTGTGGTGGCTCACCCCTGTAATCCCAACACTTTGGGAGGCCAAGGTGGGCAGATCACAAGGTCAGGAGATGGAGACCATCCTGGCTAACAAGGTGAAACCTTGTCTCTACTAAAAAGACAAAAAATCAGCCAGGCGTGGTGGTGTGTGCCTGTAATCAGGGGCAGAGGTTGTGGTGAGCCGACATCACATCATTGCTCTCCAGCCTGGGTCACAGAGTGAGACTCCATCTCAAAAAAAAAAAAAAAGAAACGGGCAGAGACAGGTAAAAATCTGTTAATATTTTCATGCCTCTTGCTGCTGTGAAGGAAGATTTGAGATGGCCAATTCATTCTTGGATCTGATGCTTTGTGGATGTTCTTTCAAATTCACATGACAGTACTCTCTGCTATCAGAGGTAGATTGAGTTATGTGGTAGGGCCAGTGACATCTTTTTTTAAAATTTTTATTTCCACACATTATTGGAGAACGGGTGGTGAATGGTGGGCAGATCACCTAAGGTCAAGGGGTTCGAGACCAGCCTGGCCAATGTGAAACCCCCTCTCTACTAAAAATATAAAAATTAGCCTGGCGTGGTGGGGCAAGCCTTGTAGTACCAGCTACTCGGGAGGCTGAGGCAGGAGAATCACTTAGATCTGGGAGGCAGAGGTTGCAGGGAGCTGAGATCGTGCCACTGCACTCCAGCCTGGCGATTTAGTGAGATTCCACCTGAAGAAAGAAACCACAGGTGTCAGGCTGGAATTGGCCCATGAATTGTTGCTGGCTGAATCTTGTTATGTGGGAAGCAGCTCAGTGTGTGCTACCTGTTCACATTGAAATCATGGTTAGAACAACATTCAAGAGTTTGCATAGGGTTGAAGACCTATTCCTGTTCAGAAATTCTAGCTAGTGTTCATTTCTGAGATTCTTTTTCTTTTTAAAGACAGTCTCACTCTGCTGCCAGGCTGGAATGCAGTGGTGCAATCTCGGCTCACTGCAACCTCCACCTCCTGGGTTCAAGCGATTCTCCTGCCTCAGCCTCCCGAGTAGCTGGGATTCTAGGTGCCTGCCGCCACGCCCAGCTAATTTTTGTACTTTAGTAGAGATGAAGTTTCACCATACTGGCCAGGCTGGTCTCAAACTCCTGACCTTATGTGATCCACCTGCCTCGGCCACCCAAAGTGCTGGGATTACAGGCGTGAGCCACCACGCCCCGCTTAGAGTATTGTTAAACAGCAAACAAAAAAAAAGAAAAAAAAGTCACTTACTTGATAATTATACAATTATCAGGTGATACATGATACGTGCACCGAAACATCACACTGTGCTCCGAAATATATAGAATGTGTCATTTAAAGACAAAACCTAAACATGAAGGCCGGGCGTGGTGGCTCAAGCCTGTAATCCCAGCACTGTGGAAGGTCGAGGTGGGTGGATCGCAAAGTCAAGAGATCGAGACCATCCTGGTCAACATGGTGAAACCCCGTCTCTGCTAAAAATACAAAAAATTAGCCGGGTATGGTGGCGCGTGCCTGTAATCCCAGCTACTCAGGAGGCTGAGGCAGGAGAATTGCCTGAACCCAGGAGACAGAGGTTGTGGTGAGCCGAGATCGCGCCATTGAACTCCAGCCTGGGTAACAAGAGCGAAACTCTGTCTCAAAAAAAAAAAAAGAAACCTAAACATGAAATAAAATGACCGTGAAGTGAAATTTCCAGGCCTCAGATCCAGTCCTGGGTTCATCGGAACCCAGAGCCTGAGCTGCGGTTCTAGGCAGAGTTGGAAATGATGCGACCAGAAGGCCGTTCGCATGCTTTGTGATATGGAGTCTCCCCCTGTCACCAGGCTGGAGTGCAATGGCGCGATCTCGGCTCACTGCAACCTCCCTCCTGGGTTCAGGCAATTCTCCTGCTTCAGCCTCCTGAGTAGCTGGGATTACAGGCACGCGCCACCATGCCCGGCTCATTTTTGTATTTTTGGTAGAGACGAGGTTTCACCATGTTGGCCAGGCTGGTCTTGAACTACTGACTCAAGTGATCTGCCCCTCTCTGCCTCCCACAGTGCTGGGATTACAGGCATGAGCCACCGCGCCTGGCCCATTCGCATGCTTTAATGTGCAAGCCCGCCTGGAAGTATATAGCTCAGGGCGGAAGATATATGGTGCTGGGAGTGACAGCCACTTCGCAGGGCATAAGTCCGAGGGATAACAGGCCTCTCTTCATGTGATGATCCTGCAGGTTACAGCAATGCAACATAACCAAGCGTGGCTGCAGACCTATCTCGAAGGTTCTCCAAGGAGTCTGCAGCCTCACAGACTTGGACTTGAGCCTCAACCACATAGGGTGTGGATTGTGGATTCTCTGCAAGGCGTTAGAGAATCCAGACTGTAACCTAAAACACTTACGGTAGGTGACTTTTTTTTCTCTTTTTCGAGATAGGGTCTTGCTCTGTTCCCCAGGCTGGGGCACTGTGGTGTGATCACGACTCACTGCAGCTTCAACCTTCCAGGCTTAATGGGTCTTCCCACCTCAGCTTCCTGAGTAGCTGGGACTATAGGTATGGATTACCATGGCCAGCTAACATTTTTGTGTAGAGATGAGGTCTCTGATCATCTTTCCCAGGTTGGTTTTGTTTTTTTTTTTTTTTTTTTTTTTTTTTTTTTTTAGACAGAGTTTCGCTCTCGTTACCCAGGCTGGAGTGCAATGGCGCGATCTCGGCTCACCGCAACCTCCGCCTCCTGGGTTCAGGCAATTCTCCTGCCTCAGCCTCCTGAGTAGCTGGGATTACAGGCGCGCGCCACCATGCCCAGCTAATTTTTTGTATTTTTAGTAGAGACGGGGTTTCACCATGTTGACCAGGATGGTCTAGATCTCTTGACCTCGTGATCCACCTGCCTCAGCCTCCCAAAGTGCTGGGATTACAGGCTTGAGCCATTGTGCCCGGCCACTTTTTGTATTTTTAATACAGACCTGGTTTCACCATGTTGGCCAGGCTGGTCTCAAATTCCTGACCTCAAGTGATCCACAAGCCTCGCCTTCCCAAAGTGCTGGCATTGCAGGCATAAGCCGCCATTCCTGACCTCCTGAAGTTTTAAGAAACTTCTCCCATCACCCTGAGGAACGTTCTAAACGGCAAGTCAGACCATGACACCTTTTGTTCCAAAGGCTCAAAAGCTTAGTGCACATAAAGGGATGGATCACCTGAGGGTCAGGGGTTCCAGACCAACATGGCGAAACCCCGTCTCTACTGAAAACACAAAAATTAGCTGTGTGTGGTAGCTCGCGTCTGTAATCTCAGCTACTCAGGAGGCTGGGGCAGAATTGCTTGAACAAGAGGTGGAAAAAAAATTTAAAGGCTTTTACAGTGGCCTATAGGGCCTTACATTATGAGATCTTCTTGTAAGTTATGAGCCAAACTTATTCTACTTTCTCACTAGCTCAGTATTTGATTAGCAAAATTCCTTCCCCAGATTAGCTGGTTCATGATCTACCATTCTTCAGTTTTTTTCCTCATATCACTTTCCCAAAGAGGACTTGAATGACCAGCATAAATCTAGCCAATGCTGCCCTGGTTGACTTACCTCATTAATCAATTTTTTTCTTTATTAAATGTTTTTTAAGAGATGGGGTTTCACCATGTTGGTCAGGCTGGTCTCGAACTCCTGACCTCAGGTGATCCGCCTGCCTCCGCCTCCCAAAGTGCTGGGATTACAGGCGTGAGCCACGGCATCCGGCCCCTACCTGCTCAGTGAATGCATGGGTTTCCATGTTCTTCCCCAACAGCCTCTGGAGCTGCTCCCTTCTGCCTTTCTATTGCCAACATCTTGGATCTGCTCTCATCAGCAATCAGAAGCTGGAAACTCTGGACCTGGGCCAGAATCATTTGTGGAAAAGTGGCATCATTAAGCTCCTTGGGGTTCTAAAACAAAGACCTGGATCCTTGAAGACACTCAGGTATAGCTTTTTTGTTTGAGACGGAGTCTTGCTCTGTCACGCAGGCTGGAGTGCAGTGGTGTGATCTTGGCTCACTGCAACCTCTGCCTCCCAGGTTCAGGCAATTCTCCTGCCTCAGCCTCCTGAGTAGCTGGGCCTACAGGTGTGCCAGCACGCCCAGCTAATTTTTGTATTTCTTTCCTTTTTTTTTTTTTTTTTAATAGAGTTTCTCTCTTGTAGCCTAGGCCGGAGTGCAGTGATATGATCTCAGCTCACTGGAACCTCCATGTCCCGGGTTCAAGCAATTCTCCCACCTTGGGCCTCCCAAGTAGCTGGGATTACAGGTGCCTACTACCACATCCAGCTAATTTCTGTATTTCACCATCTTGGCCAGGCTGGTCTGAACTCCTGACCTCGGGTGAGCCACCTATCTTGGCCTTCCAAAGTGCTGGGATTACAGACATGAGCCATTGTACCTGGACTTTTTTTTTTTTCCTTTTTGGGATGGAGTCTCGCTCTGTTGCCCAGGCTGGAGTGCAGTGGTGCAGTCTTGACTCACTGCAGCCCCTACTTCACAAGTTCAAGTGATTCTCCTGCTCAGCCTCCTCTGTAGCTGGGATTACAGGTACGCAGCACCACGCCTGGCTAATTTTTGTGTATAATATGTATTCTGAGATGAAATCTCACTCTGTTGCCCAGCCTAGAATGCAGTGGCTCTAGCTCAGCTCACTGTAACCTGGGTTTAAGCGATTCTCCTGCCTCAGCCTCCTGAGTAGCTGCGATTACAGTCCCCTTGCCACCACACCCAGCTAATGTTTGTATTTTTAGTACAGACGGGGATTTACCATGTTGGTTGGGCTGATCTCGAACTCATGACCTCATGAGATCCTCCTGCCTCCCAAAGTGCTGGGATTATAGGTGTGAACCACCACAAATGGCCATGATTTGCCACTTTGTTTTTAACCAAAGTTCCTGAAGGGTAATCAGATTAGCTGAGGGTAACTGGATGAGCTGAATACTTACATATACTCCCTTTATCTCTATCTCTGTGTGTTGTGGGGGGAACACCTGTGGGCTCCTGAAGTCAGGGGTGCACAGAAGTTGTCAGAAGGCGTCAACATGTGAAGAGTGACACTGGACAGAGACGGCAGGGCTAGAGCTCACCTTAGACACCACACAGTAACTATAGACAAACTGAAGCTATGGTGAGCCTATTACAGTGGGCTTTAGTCTGATTATCTAATTTTTAAATTTATCTTTTAAAGACATATATATTTTTTTGAGACGGAGTTTTGCTCTTGTTACCCAGGCTGGAGTGCAATGATGCGATCTTGGCTCACCGCAACCTCCACCTCCTGGGTTCAGGCAATTCTCCTGCCTCAGCCTCCCCAGTAGCTGGGACTACAGGCACGCGCCACCGTGACCAGCTAATTTTTGTATTTTTAGTCGAGACGGCGTTTCACCACGTTGACCAGGATGGTCTCAATCTCAACCTCGTGATCCACCCGTCTCGGCCTCCCAAAGTGCTGGGATTACAGGCATGAGCCACCGCGCCGGCCTAAAGACATATTTTGTTACCCAGGCTAAATGCAGTAGGGCCATCTCCAGCTCGTTGCAACCTCTGCCTCCTGCGCTTAAGTGATCCTGCTGTCTCAGCCTCCTGACTAGCTGGGACTATAGGTGTGTACTACCATTCCTGGCTTTTTGTAGTTTTGGTAGAGGCAGGATTTCACTGTGTTACCTGGGCAGGTCTTGAACTCCTGAGCTCAAGTGATCTGCCTCCTGCAGCCTCCCAAAGAGCTGGAATTACACTGTGCCTGGCCATAATCTTTTTTTCTTAGACTTATAAGGAATTCTCATTGTGTGGATCTAAATTCTTTTTTAGAAAATGTTTCCAGCCGGGTGTGGTGGCTCATGTTTGTAATCCCATGACTTTAGGAGGCCAAGGTGGGTGGATCACTTGAGACCAGAAGTTTGAGACCAGCCTGGCCAGCATGTTGAAAGCCCATCCAGACCCGGCGTGGTGGCTCATGCCTGTAAAAAAATCCTAGCACTTTGGGAGGCCCAGGTGGGTGGATCAACTGAGGTCAGGAGTTCAAGACCAGCCTGGCCAACATGATGAAACTCCATCTTAAAAAAAGAAAGCCCATCTCTATTGAAAATACAAAACTTAGCCAAGCATGGTGGTGCACACCTGTAATCACAGATACTCAGGAGGCTGAGGCATGAGAATCACTCGAACCCAGGAACTGGAGGTTGCAGTGAGTCAAGATGGCACCATTGTACTCCAGCCTGGGCATTGTGGCCACAACCAGTCACAGTGAAGCAGCTTTATAAGTGAATCCTGCTGGGCGCAGTGGCTCATGCCTGTAATCCCAGAATTTTGGGAGGCTGAGGCAGGCGGATCCTGAGGTCAGTAGATCGGGACCATCCTGGCTAACATGGTGAAACCCTGTCTCTAAAAAAAACAACGAAACAAGAAAACATATTCAGGCATCCTGGGTAACTGAGTGAATTTCTTGGGACAGTGAAACTGTAGGCGCTCTGCAAACATTTGTGTTCTCTGATCCTCCAGGCTGAAGACCTATGACACTAGTTTGGAAATCGAGAAGCTGCTGGAGGAAGTGAAAGGAAAGAATCCCAAGCTGACGATTGACTGCGATGCTTCCGGGGAGGCCGCACCTGGGTGCTGTGACTCTTTTTGCTGAGCAGGCTGGGATTGCCATACGAATTACATGAGAAGTGGGAATCTGGTCTCTAAGATACCGTATGAATGTGGGTCAGAGGGTCACATGTTAACTCTGCAGGACTTGACACTGCTTTTCTCGCTGTTCGTGGGAGATTCTGCAGAAGCCACGCACGCCCTTCACTTCATGCTGTGCACTTTCTCACCGGGATAATAAAAAGTTGGAGCATTCTCGTTGGAGCTGTTTATTGACGTGCCCAAGAGCAAACCTGCAGTACATACAGTGCTTTGTGCTCAGTCTAGGAAACTACTAAGAAGTTCAGGGATGATGGTTTTTGTTTTTCTTTTTTGAAATGGAGTCTCGCTCTGTCACCAGTGGGGAGTGCAGTGGCGTAGGAGTGTTCGCTGCAACCTCTGCCTTTTGGGTTCAAGTCATCGTCCTGCCTCAGCCTCCCGAGTAGCTGGGACTACAGGCGTACACCACCATAGCCAGCTAATTTTTGTATTTTTAGTAGAGATGGGGTTTCACCATGCTGACCAGGATGGTCTCGATCTCTTGACCTTGTGATTCACCTGTCTCGGCCTCCCAAAGTGCTGGGATTACAGATGTGAGCCACTGGACCTGGCTGTCTGTCTCTGTCTCTCTGTTGTGTCTCTGTCTCCGTGTGTCTCTATCTCTGTGTGGCTGTCTCTGGGAGTCTGTGTATGTCTCTCGCCTGCCGCCTTCTCTTTACTTCCCATTGCCCTGGGAAACACAGCTTTTACACCTGTATTTGGTCATTCATAGAAAATGCATAGAAGCCACTCTGCTCCCTGGTGGTCTAGTGGTTACGATGCAGTGCTCTCACTGCTGCGGCCCAGGTTCAATTCCCAGTCAGGGAACAAAAAGCCACTCTGCAATTTTCCTTAAGAACGAAGAAAAGTTGTCACTTTGCGTTAGCACTGGCTTCCAGGTGCTGACCAAAGTGATGGATCCCTCTCCTCACTTGACTCCAGCAGACTTTTGGTAGGGGTGAAATTATTTTCTTCTTTTTAGAGACAGGGTTTCACCATGTTGGCCAGGCTAGTCTCGAACTCCTGGCCTCAAGTGATCCACCTGCCTCGGCCTCCCAAAATGCTGGGATTACAGGTGTGAGCCACTGCACCCGGCCAGGGGTGAAACTATTTTAAGAACATGGATACGGGGGAGGTTGCCATGGTCCCAGGCACAGAAACGAGGGCATATAGCCGAGGCTTTAGGTTGAAAGCTTATATGACAGTTTGTTTTTGTTTTTTGAGATGGAGTCTTTGTCGCCCAGGCTGGAGCGCAGTGGCATCATCTTTTGTGTCTATCTTTGCATGTTTATTTTTAACGATTCTATGAGGGGTCTTCATACCCATGCAGAACTCTAACCGTTCGCTGGGCCCTCCCTTTCACTTGACCACTTCCCCTATTCACTTCCCGTGGGTGTGAACGGCATCGCCTTGTTCCCTTATCACATCAAGTCCAGTGTCTCCAAAAGTTGGCTCTTGTCTCTCCTAAAACCCCTAGCAAACAAAACACAGTTCAAGTCCGCTCCCTTAAGTCGTAGAAACATCGAGGGTATCCTGGATATAAAGCCAAAAGAATTCCCCAACCACCGAGTTCCCCCAAATACCTTCCATAGAGGGTTCTGCCTCCTCACCCATCCACTCCCCTCCACTGCATGTCGAAAAAAAGTTTTCTCCTTGGGTTTTTCAAATAACTACAAAGTCCGCCTCACTACAGATAAACTCCAAACTCTCTGTAAAGTAAAATAGCCAAGCTTTAAAACAAAATAGCCACCCTCAGGGGTCTTTAAATGCTCCCATGGTCCAGACCCTCCGGCGAGTTGTTACTAAAACGGGAGGCCACCCAAACCAGTTTCCTTAATCAACGGCCTAACTTAGTCCAGAATCCGCCTCCATGGCTCTGCTTTTGTGTCATTCACAGTCCATGCTCCAAGTCCTTCTAAGCCAGACCCCACTTTCCTATAAACTGCTGGCCCCCTCTATTCCCCCAGTTCTGCCCCCGTTTTTCCGTAGTTCAGCCAGTATGCAAAAAAACCCAAAAACCTCCTAAAGTTTTTCCTTCTAAGCCTAACTGGAACCCAAATACCTCAGGGGGAAGTAAAGCTTTAAACAATTTCCACCAGTGTCTCCTTGTGGGCATTAGAAAAGCCGCTCAAAAACCCATAAATCCATTGCAGCCCTGTTTACAATAGCAAAGACCTGGAGTCAACCCAGGTCCATCAACCATAGACTGGATAAAGAAAATGTGGCACATATACACCATGCAATACTACACAGCCATAAAAATGACGAGTTTGGGCCAGGTGCAGTGGCTCACGCCTGTAATCCCAGCACTTTGGGAGGCCGAGGTGGGTGGATCACGAGGTCTAGAGATCGAGACCATCCTGGCCACGGTGAAACCCCATCTCTACTAAAAATACAAAAATTAGCTGGGTGTGGTGGTGTGCACCTGTGGTCCCAGCTACTCGGGAGGCTGAGGCAGAAGAATCGCTTGAACTCAGGCGGAGGTTGCACTGAGCTGAGATTGTGCCACTGCACTCCAGCCTGGTGACAGAGTAAGACTCCATCTCAAAAAAAAAAAAAAAAGAAAAGAAAATGTGGCACATATACACCATGCAATTCTACACAGCCATAAAAAAACGATGTGTTTGTGTCCTTCATAGGGGCATGAATGAATCTGGAAACCATCATTCTCAGCAAACTGACACAGAACAGAAAATCAAACACCGCATGGTATCACTCATGGGTGGGCGTTGAACAATTAGAACACGTGGACACAGGGAGGGGAGGATCACACACTGGGGTCTGTTGTAGCGGACTAGGGGAGGGACAGCAGGGGGTGGGGAGGGGTAATGTGGGGAGAAATGCCAGATATAGGTGATGGGGGGAGGAAGGCAGCAAACCACCTTGCCATGTACATACCTATGCAACAATCCTGCATGATCTACATATCTACCCCAGAACCTAGGTACAATAAAAAATTAAATAATAAACCCATAAATCTGTCTAAAACAACTAAAGTTGTCTAGGGGCCCCATGAGTCACCTAAAGTGTTTTTATTTATTTATTTTTTTGAGACGGAGTTTCGCTCTTGTTACCCAGGCTGGAGTGCAATGGCGCCATCTCTGCTCACCGCAACCTCTGCCTCCTGGGTTCAGGCAATTCTCCTGCCTCAGCCTCCTGAGTCGCTGGGATTACAGGCACGTGCCACCGTGCCCAGCTAATTTTTGTATTTTTAGTAGTGACGGGGTTTCACCATGTTGACCAGGATGGTCTCGATCTCTTGACCCCATGATCCACCCGCCTCGGCCTCCCAAAGTGCTGGGATTACAAGTGTGAGCCACCGAGCCCGGCTGTTTTTAAAAAGCCTCCAAAAGTCCTGTCAAATTTACACCGCCTGTAACCCAGCGGCTCCCAAGATAGCCGTGCCATTAATTTGGCATTTGTGGCCCAGGCAACTCCTAATATTAAAAAAAAAAAGTTAAAAAAACCTAAAAAATTCATTAAAATAAACATTCCCCAGCTCCTGAGAATAGCTCAAAAGGTTTTTAACAATCAAAACCATAGAAAACAAAAACAGGCTGCTCTGGCGGCTAAAAGGGCTTCAAAAAGGCAAAAATCTCAGTGGCCGCACTCCACGAAGTTAAACGCAAGCCTGCCGAGTTGTCTACAAGCCCTAAGGGCATTGGCAAGTCTGGTCCAAAAAGCAAATAAACTAACCCTGGGCCAGAATTTAGCTCTTACGGCTCCCCACGCTATTAAACATGGCGGCGCAGCGCTTCCGGTAAATGTCAAACGCGCCCTTATCACGTGGCTGCGCAGCGCTTCCGGTAAATGTCAAACGCCCCCATATCACGTGGCTGCGCAGCGCTTCCGGTAAATGCCAAACGCCCCCATATCACGTGGCTGCGCAGCGCTTCCGGTAAATGCCAAACGCCCCCATATCACGTGGCTGCGCAGCGCTTCCGGTAAATGTCAAACGCCCCGCATAACAGTACCAGAGTTCGCTGTTAAATCAGCCTCGTTTAACTGTCTCCCCCACGAGGTGTTCAAATCCAGCTACTCTACTTCTTAATCCAAACCTAACTGCACGTGTCCGTAATTGCCAAAAGCTGTTAAAAACTACAAAGGAGTGGGCTGGGCGCGGTGGCTCACGCCTGTAATCCCAGCACTTTGGGAGGTCGAGGCGGGTGGATCACGAGGTCAAGAGATGGAGACCATCCTGGTCAACATGGTGAAACCCCGTTTCTACTAAAAATACAAAAATTAACCGGGCATGGTGGTGTGTGCCTGTAATCCCAGCTACTCGGGAGGCTGAGGTAGGAGAATTGCCTGAACCCAGGAGGCGAAGGTTGCAGTGAGCCGAGATAACGCCATTGCACTCGTCTGGGTAACAATAGCGAAAACTCCGTCTCAAAAAAAAAAAAAAAAACCTACAAAAACTGGCCAACCTCATCTCCGGGATGTTCCTTTAAAAAAGGCAAATGCCACAGTATTTACTAACAGCAGTAGCTTCCTTAAGCAAAAAGTGCAAAAAGCCAGTGTGGCCGTTACCACAAAAATAAATGTCCTGCGGGCCCAGGCCCCACCAGCCAGAACTTCAGCACAAAACACTCCGTTGGTTGCCCTTGCTCAAGCTCTGCAGTGGGGTGGCTGTGATCCACTGCAGGAAACATCAAAACAGCAGCTGCAACAACAAAAAAACCAAACGCAGGCGTTACCCAAAAAAATCTAAGGGCAAACTCCGCTGCCCAAAAGGCAGCCCAGCTTTCGGTCACACCTGTAACCTTCCTGCTTGCAGCCTGACGTACCCAACCACCAACATACTCTCCAAAAAAAAAAAAAAAAAAAAAAACAAGAAGTATCAAACATTCAGGTCAGTAAAAACCCAAATAGTTGGTAAATTCTCCCAAATTCCAAAATTTTCTTGCCCTGTAAATCCCAGCACTTTGGGAGGCCAAGGCGGGTGGATCACGAGGTCAAGAGATTGAGACCATCCTGGTCAACATGGTGAAACCCCGTCTCTACTAAAAACACAAAAAATTAGCTGGGCATGGTGGTGTGTGCCTGTAATCCCAGCTACTCAGGAGGCTGAGGCAGGAGAATTGCCTGAACCCAGGAGATGGAGGTTGTGGTGAGCCGAGATCGCGCCATTGCCCTCCAGCCTGGGTAACAAGAGCGAAACTCTGTCTCAA